GTGGTTCTTATTTGTGATGGGTTGTTTTTCTTTGGAGAGAAGGGTTATTTTATGGGGTTCCTGGATGGCGGGGGGTTGGGGGGGATTTAGGATGGGGAGGGATGTGGGGCAGGGGTTGGATGGAAAGTGGCAAGCGGTTTTGCTAAAGGAGGCCGCGGAGTTTGAATTTGTTTCGGACGGTATTTAACAGCGTGGGGTCAGAAGTTTTGTCGAGTCCATTGTTAGTCCGGTTTATGTGTTACGTTGGTTTCGTTAGTGTTCTCTGGCTTAGGTTACGGGAGAGGGAGTTTAAGGATGTCCAGGGGGTGGTTTTTTTCGGCGGGTGTGTCGTGGTGGGGTTGCGAGGATTGTGGAGGTGGGAGCGGATTTTGGTTTCGGAATATGGGAATTGTTGATTATATTTTCGGATTTTGGGATATTTTGCAGAGTTGTGGAGGTATGTAAAGGATGTGAGGGATCTTGTAACGGAGTCCTTATGAATTGAATAATTGTGTACCATAGGAGGGCGGAAGATGAGGCGGATGTTATGGTTTTCTACTCTAGTTATTTTAGTACGGTTTGTGTGCGGAAGTGGCAAACCAGGTGGGGTTTGGGCGTAAATGTAAGGATGGGGCGGATGTAGGAGTTGTAGGTTTGGATTTTTTCTTTGATGGGTATGTGGGGATTGGTGAGGATAGGCGTGTAGGGTGTTGGTGATCCTGTTGCTTTCACGGTAGTTTTATGGATATGATGGGACCAAAAGGAGTCTGCGGGAGAAGGTTACACCGAGGTAGGATATTTCAGATGTCCAGGGGAAATGGGTACGTTTCCGCGATAGTTATAGGATGGGTTGGATGGATATGGTTTTGTAGGAAAATAGGAATTGCTTGGGATTTGGAGGGATTTATGATGATTGGAATTTGGGGAAGCCCAGACGTTGGAAACTGTTGATGGAATCTTGTAGGCTAGAAAGGGATCTATTTAGGGAGTTGAAGGAAGATAGGAAGCAAGGTCCATCAGCGTATAGGAGGGTTGTACACCTGGTTCTAGGGAATAGTCATTTACGTAGATTGGAAAAGCAGGATTGGGGATAGCAGCAGCAGCCCTGTGGGACGCCGGCTTGGGATGGTGTAATGTTGGAGAGGTATCTTGAGAGATGTCGGAATGTGGAAGGAATGGTGGGTTTGAGGTAGCTTTGGTAGGAGAGTGTGAATGTGGTTTAGGTGATGTGGGACCACTCAGACTCCCAGTCCCCGTCCCGTACGGGGGAGAGGAGTCCGAAACCCCAAACAAAAACCCACTAAAACTGCCCAACGTTCGAAGAGACCCCGAGAGGGGTCAGGCGAACACGAACGGTACACCACAGCGGAGCAAGGAAGGATGGTGGCGCAGTTCTGGTTTCGGTTCGTCGGCATACGTAAAGAAGCACATGTAAAGTCTTTGGGCTGACGACTTCTTTTGGTTGTCTGTGTTAGCGAGCAGCAACAAAGAGCTCGAAGCCTTTGGTCCGAGGTTCTTTGTCGACCTCGGCCGGGATCCCTACAGCCAGATGACGCCCGTGGAACGCGCACTATTTTATTTCTTCTACTCCTATTGCAACCTCATGTGATGGCAGCAACCAGTCGCATAATGATTACAATACAGTTTTCATTGTGATACAAGTTCTTGACAGAGAAGAATCACAGAGAAATTTACGAAGGAATTATTGACATATAATTATTGAGAACGTGAATACCTTACGAGTACTATACGGTCATAAATAATTCTCGTCTGTAGAAGTCTCTGAGGTCACCTTACAAAAGAAAAAAATGAGCGCCAAAAACAAGAAGGATGTATTTTTCCAACTCAGATAAAGTGAGTAGTTGAAATTAATTCTTACTAACTTCACAGGAACTTTGGCAAGAATTAACGGAAAATGTTGAAAAAATTGCAAATAAGAAATTGGCAAAAAAGAAGTTGAAATCATATCTTCGAGTTAGGTTAAGACACGCTCATATTGAACGGTGTTATCAAACATCTCGTACATTCTCAAGAAAAGCGGATTCCAAATCCCAGACCGCATACTAATGGCGCAGGGCCAGGAAATCTAGAACTTGTTGGATAATGGTGATTTCTTTACTGTTAAATGGTGATTACAACGGGGTTACGTGGTGACTAGAGTAGGAGGATGTCTTGCGCTGAAGCTTGCTCCTTGCCCACAGGACCTCTTCCCGGCGGGCGCGTCCAACGCCGGCGGGGGCGGCGGCGGCGGCGGCGGAGTGGCGGTGGCCGTGCAGCCNNNNCCCCGCCGGCCTCCGCCCCGGCGCCTGTGCACGAGGGCGCGGGCGCGGGCGACGCCGCGGGCGACGCCCTGCTGCCGGCGCACCCGCACCTCAACCTGCTGCACCCGCCCGAGTCAGCGCTGGCGCCGCAAGTGCACCTCATCGGCCCGCCCCCGCCGGCCCCGCAACTCTTCCAGCACCTGCAGCTGCAGGCGCAGCACCAGCTCCAGGTGCGCCCACCGCCACCAACGACAGAACGCGCAATGGTCCCACTCACAGACTTCTCCTCGCACACACGCACTACACTTGTCGGGAGCTTAGAGCGTGCAGTTTCTTCGTCACATCCTACATATTGTTTCCAATATCCGTACATGGGTTTCATCAGGAGGTAATGTTAGTACATCGTGATGAAGGTCGTGATACGTGAGCCGAAACACTGGGATGAAGAAATACGCAACCTCTTACAATGAGGCTCGCACGCTCATTTCTACTCTACCACATATACCTTCAACTACACCTCGTGGATCTAGAAGGGACGAAAGTAGAATAGCAGGCATTGCAATTACACTACGCTTTATTTATTTTATTTTCTTTCATTCCTTCTTTCTTTCTTTCTTTCTTTCTTTCTTTCTTTCTTTCTTTCTTTCTTTCTTTCTTTCATTCCAGTCCGTCAGAGACAGCAGTCGAGTCAACATCGCGCCGCGCTGCGCTCAGTGAGAGCACAGTGTTACGCAGTGAGCTTGTGACTTTCCTTAGTCTGCGTGTTAATTGTGGACATTTTATTATTCAGCAAATACTACAGAGAAGTATAAAATTCTTATCTCTTCCTCCCGAATGGGGGAACAAGTTAACGGGAAATGACCTCTAATGAAGCATCGGCTGAAGGGAAGGCCTCTGACTACAGGAGCCAACCCGCCTCAGGTCAACCTTCAAGGCGCACAAACTGGAGTAATATCGTACGAAATTCTATGTATCCGGTCAAAGAGCAAGGTTTGATAATTGATGAGAAAGACTACATATCATCTCTAGAAAGATATGTAGAAGCCTTAGCTACTATTGTTTCACCACGAAACATAATACACGCTTCCAAGATCTCAAACAGCAGAGTGTGCATCTTTCTTAGCAGTAAGCAATTAGTTGATTAAGTAACAGATAAATATAAATCTATTAATATAGATAGAAGTGAACAAAATATGCGACCATTTTTCAGTAAGCAGAGTATACTAAGGAAACTGATAAACTGATTGCACTGCTCAGAGATATGTGCCCATTACTAGTGGATAGAGGCATGAAGTCCCGTTTTACGACAATCATGAAGAGGTTGAAGGATTCCGTAGCGCCTGATTCCTCAAGAGCATCTTCGGAGAACGAATGTTTATCAAGTGAAGAAGAATAATGAAAATCAAAATTCTGCAATGGAACGTGAACGGCTTCCGAACACGATATGCGTTCTTTCAAAAACTTCAACTTTCTTTCTTTCTTTCTTTCTTTCTTTGTAGAATGTAAGAATAAAATGCATTAGTTTTCTTTTTCGCAACTACTGCGGTTGTCAGTTCAAGAATTCTCTTGAATGAAATGTAACGGTCATATACCTTGTAAAATTTTGCATTGGGGCAATGAGTGTTTGACCTAGTTTTAATAGCAATCATTAACGTAAATAATCATTATCATAAATTTAGCAGATTAAAATAAATCTATTAAAATATCAAAACGTCCATTTAAAATCATTTTTTATCTAAGTGAAGTCGAATGAATTAATTTTCTTGTTGTAGTCCATGATTTGTTACTGATGAAATTCTGTACACATATTATTAAAGAGTTAAAAAATAAAATTTTTACGTCAATTAAAATGTACCTTCTTTGGTGTCCTTTCTCTAGGATCAACAGAAACTCCAGGCTGAACAACAGTTGCAAGCGCAGTACCACTTCCATGCGCAACAACACATTCACGCTCAGCAGCAAATTCAAGCTCAGCAGCAAATTCAAGCGCAGCAGCAAATTCAAGCCCAGCAGCAAATTCAGGCTCAGCAGCAAATTCAAGCTCAACAGCAGATTCAAGCTCAGCAGCAACTAGAAGCTCAACAGCAACTGGAGGCTCAGCAGCATCTCCAGAACCAGCAGCATCTGCAGATGCAACAGCAAATCCAGCAAGAGCAACTCAAGGCACAACACCAACATCAACAGCAAATTCAAGTACAGCAACAACAGCTTCAACATCAACAAGAACTCCAACAACAGCAAGAGCAGCAACAGTTCCTGGAGGTGGCGCTGCACGCCTCGGGCCATGAGCCTCAGGCGCAGGCGTCGCACCAGCTGGTGGTGGCGTCGAGCAGCCAGGGCGGGGGCCAGGGCGGGGGCCAGGGCGGGGAGCCCAACTTGCTCTCGTGCACGGCGTCCGGCCACTACCAGGTACGTCAACGGGCGGGTGCAGCTCCAAAGCGTTTCATGGCACAACGGTGCCGGATTTGCAAGTCTTGTGAAATTCGTTGCTGCTTACAACGCTCACTGTTGCTAGATGTAGTACTAACTCAGCAATGTATAATTAAGTACAAACTATCACAATCTATTTAGAATAACCATATAGGCAAAATTAATTATACAAAGTATCCCAAACCTGAAGAGAAAGTTACAGAGAAGGGTAACTACAAGAATGATCAAGTACATACTTTGTAGACATTATTCTTGTGAATCATTGTCTAAAGGAAAGGCAATAACACAATGAGTGATAAGTTTTGGTTGCGTTTTGTTGCAAAAAGTATTGTATTGATCACAAGGAATTGTAGTAGAATTTTTTTGAAGTTTGAAACAACAAATTAATAATCTTGCATCCCTTATATCCACAAAAAATGAAGACGTTTTACAGACAATAATAAACGAATAACCATATGTATCATGTGTGTTTGTCACTGACAATCGAGCGATTCGCCGTGAGGAAGCCACTCACCTGTCGACTGCCTGCAGGTGCAGGACGTGCTGCCAGCTGCATCCGAGGAGCAGGCGGTTGCTGGATCTGTGCTGTACGAGGCGCTGGACCTTGGGCAGGTAAGCAGGTTTGAAGACGCCCAGAGACCAATGCAAATAACGAACCGAAATAGTTTTGGGAGAAAGAGGAATTAAAATTACTTCACACTCTCAAAGAGTTATACCTATAAGAGGTATATTGAAACCCATTCAACATTTTGCGCGTAGAAAACTTACATAGAGTACGAGTGAAAGGTCAAAGTTCGTTTACTGAACTTACACCATAAAGAGTTGTGGCAGCCACTACAGACATGAAAAACAAGAGCGAAGCTTTATGTTTTTTGTAAACCTGCCTTTGATCAACCCCTTGAAATGAATTCAGCTTCGTATAGAAAAAACGAGCTACTTGTACACAGGTGATCACACAAAATTTGAGCCAAGAAACTAAAACACGTTGTAGGGAAAGTTTCGTTTAAAACCAGGACAATTAGAGATTGGAACAGTTTACCTGCATCAACTTCCAAAAGCTTTCCTCCAAGTGTCCGTAGTTATAGAAATGAATTAGAATGACAAGATATCGCTTTAGTGATGCTATGTGAAGCAATGCGATGAAGTGGTGAAGTGGTTAGCGTGAACCTATGTACACTTGCACTGAAGCAAAGTAAATGTTACCAACTCCAATTTTCGAGATGCTTTATCCAAACATTCACTATTATAGCATGTACTTAACATTTATTTTATTATTTCCATTGTTTAGTTTTATAACATTCATTATACTCAATACAGTGATGTCTAATTTTGCATAGAGAGAGGCAGGCCATCAGGCTTCACCAGACAAATTTCGTTGCGATCATTGCGCCATCTAGTAGCGAAAGGTTTGGGTGACCATTAGAATTTTGATGATTGGCTTCTTTGGGGATTGAGATTGTTTTACATGCAGTAAACACAGCAAGAAACCGGCGAGTTTTCTTCCTCTCGAAAGTACGCGCATTAAAGATGTCTGCTCTTAAGAATCGACGGCTTCGATCTCAGTTGAACCCGCGAATTTTGATGTAGCAGTTCCATACTATGCTACCTCCCCCCGATTCATTATCCACCAACAGTTTGCTCATCATGTTTTCCTATTACCTTTCCATTTGGATGATGTCTTTGCGTGTGCGGCAGCGCAGAGGGGCTGAATGTGTGTTGATGTGCGCGCAGGAGCAGCAGCTGCAGCAGCACCACCTGGTGGCGGTGGGCACCCCGCGCGGCCGCGCTCTGCCCGCCGGCGCCGCCCCACCGCCGCCCCCGCCGGCCGCCCCCGCGTCCCCCTCTCGTGGCGCGCGCCAGCAGCGCCCCGCCTGCAGAGCCGCACCTTCCGCTGCCCCGCCCCGCCCACCCGGCCCCGCCCACGGCCCCGCCCACGGCCCCGCCTCACGGCCCCGCGGCAGGGGCGTACCTGCCGCGCTTCTTCCGGGCCCCGCGCCCCAACGCGCTCCCGCAGCCCTTCAAGACGGCGCGCGCCTACTACGGGTCTTACGGCCACCACGCGCACTGACTGCGCCGCTGCGCCGCGGGGCGGCGTCGACAGGGACCGAGTTTTAAAGGGAACGCGGAATAAAGGTTATCGATTCCTTTTATTTCATATTCAAGCTTTGCTTGTGCTTGACGGGGAGTGTTCTTTATTGCATTCAACATTTCAAACCGAAAATATTTTGTTGCGATAAAATTCTCAGAGGAGTACATGACCTGTCACTTCCTTTTGTGATGTTTATCGGTTTGTTTATTGTAAACTGAATAAAACACAAAAAAGTGTTGTAAGTGGGGAGTATATACGTAAGTGGCGATTACATAATTATACGATGTTGCATTTTGCATACCTCGTGTTTGCTTTCAAAGAAGTAATTCAATTTAAAATTCGGTCTCCAGATATGACGTACACAATTATTTTAGTTATTCTTCTTTTATTGACAAAACCTTTTGTCCAGAAATATTCCTAGGATCACTAAATATGTAACGTATTGAATAGTTAACCTTTCTAGTTTTTAAGTTGGAAGAGAAATGTTGGCTGGCCACATCTCTTCTTTCATAAATGAATCCTACCTATACCCATGGCAGGAATCCTTCGGGATATGTCACGGAACACCTTAACCTCTCCACCTTACTGACGCTTCTGCATCATTTTGTAGTTATTGAACCGTGATTCTTATGTAGAAGGGTCCCTCCGAAATCACGACTTCACGGAAAATAACACATTTCAATTCCTTCTACTTGAAAATTTCAAAATTCATACAATTATAATTTTATTCACCAGAGACGAAATTCATTGCCACTATTGATCAATAACAATATACGACCTCATTCAGAACAATATCGTTTACTTTTATAATGGTTATTGGACTTTCTCTAGTTGGTGATCATTGTTCTCATTGATTACTCGCTGCGATTGTTTCAATAATGTTTTTGAATTTCAATACAATCAAAAATTCTTCGAACGTAGACATTTATCAAATGATAGATTATTTATTCGAATGACTTAATTGAATGATTTTTATTGATTATAAAAATGTTTCCTACAGAATTCCGTTTTATATCATCACTCTAGTAATTGAATTACACTAAATAACTTACTAAAAGCTGAAGACTGCTGCAGTTAATTTGAATGCCATTATCAAAAATTTGAATATAATGACTTTTCATATTATAGCTAGATGGTATTCAAGCGTTATAAAGGTATTTATGTACTACGTATATTGCGTTCCCTTTTGTAGGTGTTTTTTAAATAGAGGTGTTGTTAAGCATACCACGAAAACAGTCACGCCCATTATGTTTACTTATCTCAAATTTCTCATTCCAAATATATGGTATAGAGTCAATAAAACACAAATTAGAAATTTTTCACAAGCATTCATACTTTTAATAATTAATTGGAATAGCTCTTGATAGCCATTCAAAGATCAAAGTTTTTAACCTATTGATTTCTAGAAGTTGTAATTATGTTCAAAATGAAATGCATGTATTTGTGGGGACACTTTGGGAATTAATACATTTAAATAAATTAGGGTTCTTTCAAGAATGTATTTCAAGTAGAATAAAAATCAGAATTAATTGCCATTTTCTCAATTCACAGATATGTTGTCTCTGAAAGAAAAGTGGTATTATGCTTTCCCTTGAAGCAATACCCTCTTGTTGTAGTAGATCATTTGGGAAAACCCCTTACCATTAGATAAAACCAGACATTTACGAGGTTTCCAGCAGTTACATAAATCATACATACCCATGAATTCAGAAGGGTTAAACAATTGACCCCAATAGAGTATACAATATACAAAATGTATCCTTACTGAAGGTAGTCCAACATATATTCGGTATTTTGCCGAACTTTCAAATGTGCCAAGGCATTCGCGGAAAACATCGCCAACGATTTTTTATTTAAAATATATTTAGTATTTATTAATCTGTAAATATTGCATTAAACAAATGTATTCTTCTTCAATGCAAGAAGCATGGGAAATATGTATCATGGGAGAATAATTTTCTGATAGGTTATCCTACTAAATAAGACATAATAAGTAGTCGTGAGTGAAATATTCTTAACTGATTAAAAGCATTAAGCATTACAATAGTATATTTATTTACTTTAAACGTTTTGATTATTCTCACATGCTACTTTGGTCCCAGCGAATCCGGCGATGTTCCCGCGAAGCAACCGTTGGAGAGCTTTCCTGGATGTGCTTATCTTGCAGTATTTATAGGTCTTAATTAATTATTCCTAATGAGTATTATTTAACCGGGAGAGGGGTTTATCGCTGTATCGGCGCTGTGACGCCCTCCGCGTCTTCCGGCGCGAGCCAACGGGCGCCCACGAAGGATATCTAGTCCGTCGTTTTATACTGGTATCAAATATACATGACTACTGCTATTTTTACGAAGACTTTTTAAAAATTTTTGTGACCTTTCCCCCGCTGTCCTTTATTCCCATTAATGGTTGCAAGGATTTAATTTTTTACTTCAATTATTACAGAAATTATTGAAAGAAATAATCAAGCCATTTAAAAATACGTGTGCTTTATCTTCTTCTCCCCTCAAATCTATGTTTTTTGTTTCAATGGTTTTCCTCACATGGTACTTGAGGTAATACTTTCCACAAAATGTTATGAGTTGAAGTAGTATATAAGTAATTTCTTGTACATATATAAAAATACTTTACATGTAGTGCAAAGAAAACATAATATTAAATCATTTGTACTGATAATATGATGGTATGCATTGAAAAAAATAGGAGTGTATATGCAACTAATTTACTCCATTTCTTTTATTAACTGATACTGACAGAAATAGGTGCAAATATATAAATTCATCAAATCATAGAATTTCACCAAATTAAAAGAGAAGGAACCATGAAATTATGTATCTGTAGCGAAAACAATACATAAATCTTAACATTTATTTTGATTACATTATATTCATAGGAATAACATCTATAATTATAAAAAATGGATCATTTTGTAATCAAATTCAGTTTCATCGCATCTTGTCGCAAGTGAACTACCACACATTATGGAAAAAAAATTATTAAGTTTTGTTAAAAGTGCCAAATGTATAACAATGACGTTGAGGACACGTAAAATATATTTCAGGGCAAATTGATAATTTTTTGCAATTAAAATGTATATCACATAAACAACAAAATATTAAAGATAAATTGCACTCTTTCAAGACTATCAGGGTGATCATTTTTAGGACGAATTTCCTGGATTTGTTTCAGGTTATGCAAGTCATTTCCTTTCGTGTTTCGTGACAACATGTGAAATATTTCAGGATATTTAAATAAAATATTAATTAAAGCACATCTTTGGTCGATATAAAACCACTGCTATCGACTGAATCCTTTTCTCCTTTCTGACCCACATTCTCTGGCACTTCCATTGTGAGAGAGACTTCCATTCAAAACACACAACTTTCTTTATCTATTTCACAGCTCTCAGAATGCACCGTGAAAAGACAAAAATAACTATATTTCCTTAACAAATAAAAATTGTGCCCAAAACAACCATGTATTCCAGTTATTTGAAGGAGAAATCTTAGTTTCTTTTATTGTCTCAGAAATTTCCTTGACTTCCAAATGATACATCAAAATATCGTCTGAATTTCCTAGATCATTGAAATTCCCCGACATTTCTCTGTTTTTCAGGTAGTGGCCACCCTGAGTAAACTGAAGTTTCACTGCTAAACATTTTATGTCTTGTTCGAAGATGACCTCTCGCATCGAGGCCGGTTGCTGCGAGAACGCGAGGTGCTAGAGGCCCAGTCGGGAGGTTTACCGCCGCGTTTCGTGTGCTCTCTGATGTACTTCACAAGTAGTCCCGGATCGAAGTTTTTGAAGCACTGTGTGGAATTATAACAGAGTTTACAAATTTGCATTTGACATAATTTGACATAATCGAAATAATGCGGCAGAACCGATGGACACAATTCGATATTCAAGACACATCACGATTTTTTTAGAACGTGTGCAATACAAGTTCAATGCAAATATGATAATGACGTATTTTCAATGTACGTATTGTATTTTCCAAGCCTCTTACTTTAAGATATGGTAGCACGGAAATTTGCTGAAGATTACGACGTATAAAGCAATGTCGAGGATTAACGTGTTATCAAAGATTCTCGCTCGATTCGAGTCGATATTATTTGATTGATAAGTGTAGCTACGTAATCAAAGGTGAATGGAAGATAATTCTTTCTCTTTGTCGATAACAATCTGTGAACGCACGTGCGTAGAGTGAGAGAAGGGCCACGCGCCGGCTTGTTCCAACACCCGCACTTTCAACGAGACTGAAAGAGCTTCAAATACAGATAAATTGGGTAGCGTGGCGTAAGTGAAGGTAAAGTGGTTTGTCGCCAATTTGTTTTGTGTATCCCATATTTTTTAGGAATCAATTTTCACAGAACAGAAACTATTAATTACGTCAGTGGACTCTAAATGGTTGATTTCAATTTTGTTTGGTATTTTTTTGTTGTTGTTATTGTTGGAAAAGTTGCTCGCGAGTAGGCCGGCTTGGCCCACGCGTGCATGCATCCTGCACTTACCGGGGCTCAGAAACATTGCGGTGGGAGGTGCATGTAATGTTTATCATGGGAACAGCTCTTGGCTAGATCCGATTTCTATCCACCAGGGCCGTTAGCCTCGGCGGTACAGAATATGAAACGATGATAGTGACGATTGAGAGGCCGACACACACATACAAACACAAAACACCCCAAGCCTGAGGCGGGACTCGAACCCGCCATCTTCTGGTCCGAGACTGCTGTCTTAACGATCTAGGCCATCTTATCGACCTTGAACAGTTTTATTGATGTTTAAAAACTAAAATTTGACGCCAAATTGATTTATTATTGCAAATGTAAATAATGATTTTTAAGTGTTGTTTGTGAGTTCTTTTCTATTGACAAATACACAACAAAATTGACATATACAGAACAAAATCGTAATAAAGCAAACCGAAAATGATAATCTAGATTACATTGAGCTAAATGACAATACCAACAATATCAAAGAGACTCAAACTCACTTTACTGAGCTTCACTGTACTGGGAATATGGGTAGTCGAAATGTTTCAGAATAACCGGAAAAAATATTTGAGGATGATATCTACTAACAATTATCTTGCTTTCGCAATACATTCAAATGTCAGAGGCGACACAAAATATATTTTTAACACTTATTGCTATTAAGAGAGAGCTAAATACAAGTATATACCATTTTGATTTTGACTATTACTTGCGGTGTCTTTAACCGGGGAGAACAACCAAAATTAAATTTCAGTTCACACAATGTATCTGTATGATGTCTCAGTTGATTTCTTCAGAACTCCTCAGAATTACACTGTACTCAGTATTCACTCGTTATTTACGTTTTAACGGATGTCAGTTTTAAACACTCATTTGATGATAATTAGCAACAACTTAGAGAGGAAGCGTAGACTCTGTCGTTAGAGTACACAATTTACACAAGAGATTCAGATACGGTGTAGGCTGTTATTGTAACGTGTGATAGAGAACTATTAGAAATGAATGGTAGAAGAATAGAATGTACAGAAGATAGCCGCACCCTTCAATTTGAAAGTGTCCAACACATTACTCTCGCTCGTCCATTGCCGCTTCTCCCGCGTTGTGAACAACTTGCGCCTTCGCAACTTAAATCTAAATAAAACTTTTCGAAATGTGATTCACCCGACTGCATGAAACAGCAATGATTTGATTTGACTTTGGAGCTGCTCATTTGCACAAATAACATCAAGAATGAGTACTTTTGAAAGTAGTTTAATGTTTAAGATGTAATGAAAAAGAAGAGTTCTTAAATTTAAAGTTAGAAGTCTCAATGAAGTTTCTCCAACATCACTAAATATGACTCTGAAGAGACGTGTGTAGATAATACCGTAATATTTGCATTCCTTGAAAATTCATATGGAAAGCAAGATAGTTATTGAGGAATGTAATGTAATGTGACTGGAAGGATAACAAACTGAGCAGAAAAAATTATCTTCGATTTAGTTACAAAGGGGCGGAAGTTATTGCGTGAGTTAAAAGACCGACGATAAAATCGATATCTTATCTTCCGACTCTATCTACTCTTGAGAAACGTATTTTTTATGAAGTATTAACTACATTCACTTTCGCACATGTCTTACTCATGATCTATAGAAACCTTATTAAAGAAAAAGTGCTTCGTTATAAAATTAAACCACTTGTTCATTTCTGTACATTAAGTTTAATATTGTAACTTAATAGCAATAGATTATAAAGCAAAAATGTAGGACTGTTCACCCAAGGAGTCATTGATTTAAAATGTACATTTTTTCTAGTTAATATTTCCGTTGAAATGCATTATGTCTCCAGATCAGGCGTCCCCATGGGATGGGGGTGTCTCTGTGAAGTAAGTTCAGAGCTCTCTACACACTTCTCTTATTTATCTGAAACCTTCATCCTTAGAAGAATAGGCCTACATTGAATTTAATATTATGCAAATAATACCAGCATAAATCTAATGTTGTTGATCATCAGTTCTCAGATGATTAAGTATCCGTAATTTTCATTGCTAGAAATATGAGCAAAAATAATTTACGAAGACAAATTGACAAGCTTCAACTGTTTGCTTGTGAGTATACAATATATCTTCAATTTTTGCAGGAACGAAAAGCAGAAGTTTGATAAATGTCTGTAATTGATTGGCTTTTTTTAAAGCTATCTCATTTTTAATTTTCCGCAAATTACATGGTAGTACATTAAACATTTTTCACACAATGAAGGTTCTCTTCTTTTCCCCTACAACTGACCATATATTTTTATGGATATACGTCCTAATATTGATACATGTACGGTACAAAACAAATAATAATTTATTACAGTATTTAAAAAGAAATATAATTTTTTACATATTTTTTCATAACTGATTTGTGTATATCATCATTAACCATTTTATTTTTGTGAATATTATCTTCATAACTGACTTGTGTTTTCAGACATCATTCAATGATCGTTTTCATATACGCATGAATATGATACGAAGTATGTATTCGCTCTTATGAATTTCAACATTATGTATGTCTTCTCAGTGAGTCGTTCAATATAAGTGTGTCGTTCAATTTAATGATGAAAGATGTGGTGGATGATGTAAAAAGGAGAAAAAATTCATGTGAATCTTCATTAAATTTAATCCCCGCAATAGAGATTGATGATTATCCCACGAGTCACTGAGAAAGTTTTTCGTAAAGCAAAGCGAGAATAATTTGGGAAGGGACATTGATAAGATGATCGTCATCCTTCTCACAAATCTATTTCATCCATATATACAGTAAAGAAATCACAATTAATATCTGAAATTTCAAAAGCAAATTTATTGTCTATTTGAAGTTCTATAATCCAAATTTAGTTCCAAGAGCAATCTTATTATGAAACTGTGAGGGGTTTCCCGTAACTAAATTATCAGCTATTGATTTCCGTGATTTAATATCTGCATGCTATTTACGGCAGATGTGTTCAGAGGTTCAATAGAATAGCAGATTTCTAGATAATAGTTTAGCATCGTATCATCAGTGAGCGTGCCTATATCACTATCGTATGCCCACGTATCACATTCTGAGAACCCGCGTAAACAGCTGTTGAGAGCCATTCGCGACCTGCGCCATTGGCGCGAGGAGTGGAGCTGTGGCTAGCGCGTGCTGCGCTAGAAGCCCGTGCGGGCCCAGCGGTCGTCGCCGCCGCCGCCGCCGCCGCCGTCGTGCCAGGCGCGGTTGTCGTAGCCCCCCCAGCGGCCGCTGGCTGAGGGCCCCCAGCCCCCGCTGCCGTCGGGCGACAGGGGTCCCTGCGGCTGCTGAGACGCCCACCCGCGGCCGCTCTGGGGGCGGAGACAAGAGTTACAGATGAACCCATACGATTGCATCGCACAAAAGGAAGCACGTTTCAAGAAACAGCATATGAACTATGCGGCAAATTTAAAAATAACGTTATTTCGTTTCATTCAGTACTACTTATTCAGTAACTGTAATGAAATGAGAGGTTTAATATGGGAGAATAAAATGACTAATTATACTAAACACAGAGTTAAATACTTTTCTTAAACTAAAATTGAAATGTTTTACATTTACTAAAATGTGTACATGCATGTTGTAGTGAACTAAAGTAGATTATCTTGCTGTTCACCTTTACTTAAAATCGCAATTCATAACATATAATATCACTGCTTTTTTGTGAAAACCATGTTTCAGAGGGTTGCTGCCCATTGCGTTTATGTACACCCACGAAGTTTTGCATTTAAGAGCAGCAAATGTTTGAACTGTTGACCTGACCCGCCTTTGCACGCGCACGAGGTGTCCCGAAGGGCCTCGTGTTCCGCATTGCAAAAACGTATTGCTCTTTCAAAACACACACAAATTCCATGGCACTGAAGATTGTCCTCCATGTCAGATTTGTCGAGATCATGCTCCTGATGAACCATGAAGACAGCATTGCACAAAATCACTAACGATTTACACGACAGGGCGTATTTTGTTATCGACTTATTCTGTTATCAAGGATAACTCTTTGCTAGAAAACCATGCACTGTTCATGACATCTGTCAATTCGCAGTGAAGCGAGCCATGCAATTAATATTATGATTATGATTTTTATTATTAGTAGTAATATTGGCACATTGACCGCCAAATTTATTCAAATTTTGCGCCAGGCTTCGAACACCTCAGTTTCTTTGCTCCTTGTAGGCATTTAAGAAGAAAACATCATACATATCAAACTTCCCGCTTAGAAAAAAAAAGCCGCGCGAATTCCTTCCCAGTTGACAAAATACCCATTTTTTCGTACAAAGTTCTTTGACATCGTTTGTTAACTGTTTACTATCAGTTCGGAGAGTTGCCATAGATCGCGTTACCTCCAGGGCGGCCGCGACAAAAAATTTACCCATTGTCAGATATCTCGGAATCCAATTTTTCCACATTAGCTCGCATAGTAATGAAAATCAGAGGAGCTGCGAGTAGTTTCATAGTCATCGTGTACAGAAATGTGTTGGGCATATTAAAAGTTTGATTCGAGGCGTTGCTATGCAATTTCCAGCACCCTTCTTCAGTATACGTGACATCAAACGTAAAGATCCGTAAGAGTGTAAGCGTGAAATTCGCAAGGAAAATGTTTATTTTCGACGGACAGAGGAAACCATGGCAATCTCTTCAATACTCAGTTATTCTTTCGAATCATTGTCAATTATGTATCGTTTCGTTTCCAGAACTTTCTCGTGTGATGAGAAATTTCGAAATTTCGAAAAACCCATTTTCGTTGCAGTTCTGCTAATGCTTTCCCAATTTATCTAAGCAATATTTCGCAGCCTCAACAACAACAATAATATTTATTATTATTATTATTATTATTATTATTATTATTATAAAGAACTGTGTCAAAGTGTAGTTGAGTATTCAAACCTGACTACAGGAATTTGTAAATTTTGAAGACCAACAATTTGTGCGCTTAAGACATTGAGCACAAATGCATTGCACTTAATTACAATTTGTATGTCATCTCTATTGTGACTTCATACATCAATTTTCTAAACTAATAATAATATTAATAATAATAATAATAATAATAATAATAATAATAATTACTGTAACCTGCTTGTAAACCCTGTATGGTGGTGAATTGAAATAGTCGTGAGCACTCGGAATAGGGAGGAAGCATTAAAAAAGGTCAATTTTTCTGTATTAATTTTTTAGGGACTGAACAAAACGTTAAGAAATTGTTCTCCTCCTCATGGCGAAGAAGTGCTTGGAAAGGTCGCTCCTATGTCTAGTAGAGGCAACGTCTTGTATTTTATAATTTTGGTCGAACATATCTTCGGTGTCTTTCTTCCACAGAAAGCTTTCTTATCCGAATTCTTTGCCGTGCTATAGCACTCCCCCAGTCCTGGCCTCTGCAGTACCTTTTCCGTCTAAGCTTACGTAATGTCCTGCGGATGCTTAACAACCGCGAGTCATGACAGCAATGTGAGGTTGGGTGCACCGGCATCTGTGGGCAGCCAGGCTTCTAGCGCCCTCGCGCGCGGGCTGGTCAGGCGGAGGCCGCAGCTGCCAGCCCGGGAGGCAGCGACTGCGCTGCGCTGGCGGCCCAGCCAGGTAACGAGGTAAATTGTGAAAGCAACTGACTGTATTCAGAGCTCGTGTCTGTGTCATCATTGCGCCGTCACGACACTCTGACGGTAGCAGCCCTAAATGGGATGCAGAATGCAATACTTCGCTGTGCTCACCTCCGGAACGTCAAACGTCCTGACTCAATGGACTGATCAGATAGATCCGCAGTCAAACGCAGGTTAATATTAACTCAGCTGACTCTACATCAATTGTTCTATTAGGCATCCTTCTAAGTGTTTATGTGTTACACGTTTGCGTGTTGGAGTGGCCCATGAAATTGACATGCGACTTAAAATAGAAAGTCTTTTCAAGACACGAGCGTGGAGGAGAGAGGGACACGGTCATCGAATCGCGAGCTTCGTTGCGACAAATTGTTGGTATTGATGCTCCCGATCGGATGACATTGTTCCCCTCTCTTTTAGCTCGTGACCTTGAAAGGTCATTGTGTTTTAATCGAAGTACCCTTATAATTCAATAATTGCACTCGTGGTACTCCGACGACGACGAAAGAAGAAGAAGGAGGAGGAGTAGGAGGAGGTGGGGAGGTAAAGTAGGAGATGGGTAAGAAAGAAGGAAAATGGCGATGGCCGGACGTACCTGCTGCGGCGCTGGCTGGCGCCAGGCGTCTGCCGCCGGCGCGGGCTTCTTGAGGACGGAGCGGCGCGGCGCGTTGCCGGCGTCGTAGTCGGGCTCCGGGATGGCCCGCGATAGGCGCTGCGATGACGTCGGCGGCTGCGGCTGGGGCGGCGCCGGCCCCGGGCCGCGCTGCGAGCCCACCTGCGACGACGGCCCCTGCGCGCGCGCGCCCCGTCAGCCCCGCGCCCCGCGCCCCGCGCCCCGCGCTGCCGCTCGCCGCGTCGAGGCCCTGGCCGGCAGCGGAGTGTATAACGTATCTCGGCAGGGGCGGTGCCCTCTTCCACGGGATTAATTGAGTGATTAGTGTTCCGGTCGTTTTTAATCTCCTTCGTGTTGTGTATGTTGTAACCCGGGAGGGGCGGTGTTCCTCTCACGCTGAAAAGCAAGATCCCCTTCTGCTGTACTTCCGCTTGCAGGGTTTTCCCCTCTCGGTATCCTTCCGCAAGGGCACCGCCACGACCGAAGCTTCCGATTGGTCCCTCGACGTGTGTGGCATTGAAGTGCATGCGTGTGTTAGTAGCTGGGAGGGAACAAATGAAGGGAGGCCGATCGCGCACGGTCTGCCGGCCTCTTCTTCAAAGAGCTCCTTCGACGGGCGTCTGCTATAGATAGGAGAAATCATGGAAAGCTCAGTTCAGACAGTTCAACGGCTTAATGCGACCTAGGAACGATCGTTGCCTTCGTAGGGTTGAAAGTCCGCCACCGTTCACTCGAATCCTGCGACCTACAGGTCAAAAACACTGCAGTGGCAGCAGTTGTCGCCCTCAGCAATTTCAACTTCTAAGTGTTTGGTGAATCATAATATATTTCATAGCAGGTAGTCGCAGTTATGTCGTATAAAATTGGCATACTGCAATAGAGCCTAATGTATTCGAATAATGAACCTCAACGAAAATGTAACGTAAACAATTTCTGGATTATTATTTCTTTTTACAGAGAAATGAAGAACGTGTCAAGTATTAATGAACACCGATTTGTCCAATTAAACGCATTCGAGATTTAAACTACTCTGCTACAAGACCTCTCTTCTCGTGATGTTGGTAGTAGTTGTGAGAATGAAGGTAAGATTGTTTGTAGTGATATTCCTGTGTAGGTGGTGACTGCAATCGAAGTTGCGGTAAGGATTGCTGTGACAGTGGTGATGGTGTTAGAGCTGGGGAGTCGGTGTAGGTATTTGTGGATGAAAAGAGATGAAGAGACGGGAGAGATGTTCGTAGTGTTGCATAGGGTAAAATGTTATTAGGCAACCACGCCACCATCCGCAGCTGAGTTATAAAAATACATTCGTGCCCAAAGTTTTCTTCTAAATGGGAGAACGAGTTCCAAAATGTGGCGGCAGAGTGCACGCTGTCTCTAATGCTCCGCCTCGTGATTTGCATTTGTTAAACTACAGCTGCCCACCAACACGGGTCTGCATTTTCTACATTATTACTAACATTTATACAGAAAATGTATTTACAGGTTAATTCCAGTAATGTGTGCTGCATAATGGCAACCTAGATAACAGCACACTCTGCCGCCACGATTCCATTAAGTGTGGTCACGTGACTGGTTTGGTGAGCGACTTGGAGTAACTTGTCGCGTTACCTGCGCCATGCGTGCGGCGAGCCCCCCGCGCTGCACTTGGGCGTGCCCGTACTCGCTGTGGGCGGGGGCGGGGGGCTGCGAGTGCCCGCCCCACGCCGCCAGGGGCGCGTAGGGCGCCGGGGCCGCCGCGGGCCGGCTGCGCGGGATGGTGCCGGGCGTCACCCAGGGCTGTCCCCTCTGCGCCTGCGCCTGGAACACCATGCTGCGGCTGCCGCGCCGCACTTGTTACACGACAATAGAATCTGGCGAAAGACTTCTCATTGCATTCCCACAAGGCGTCTCACACTCGGACAATTATCTTATTTCTGCCAAAGCACCGCGACTAATTCCAGTGTCTGCAGATGAAATGAGAAATAATTCGTTCGTCTTTATTTATGTAGCTCCACAACACCACCTGGCTAACATGCGAATTAACCGGCTACTCCTAACATTAGCCACAGTTAGACCTTGCGTCATATCAGATTTAAATGATAAGTGGGTAAAAAATGGAATCAATTTCATTTTTAAACACAAACAATCGAAACGCACATGCACTATCTCGTAACTCTCGCCTCTCACTTTCAAATTAACCATCACGCTATTGAACTCCACTCAACATAATATAGTAGTAGCCTATCTGTTTGTGACCTGAAAACTAAGTACTAGGTCATTTAGCACCAATGTGATTGTTTACATCGGTGCAACTATAGGGAAACACGACACGTAAAGACAACACGAGCACACAAACATCCACATCCGAGATGGGCTACGGCCCAACAGCCATAGCGACCTCGTATATCCAGGCCGGCATACAGTGGCTTGTGTTTGTGGTTCTTTGCGATTAATTGCTAAAGAGTTTGAATTAGAAAGTGGCAGCAACACGTCTTCAATTCGAAAATGTCTTTAAAAATCACGTGTTTTGTTTTCAGAGTTTTATTAATGAAATAATCAATAGGATACGTACATTTAGAAAATCTCCTTTGGATTTTAAATTGTGCTTTAAATTTTGCATGAATTTTGCAAATTGGTATTGTACATACTATTTCAATAGGAGAAAGACGGAAAGGGTATTGTGTTAGTTTGAGCGCACTCCTGAGGAGCAGAGCGCGTGTAAGCATGGCCTTGGCCCGCGCAGGCATCTAGTGTGCGTTTAGTTTCTCCTTGAGAATCCGAACAAAGCAGCCTGCGACTCACCTGTCCTGGAGCGCGTCCGCCGGCGAGTGGTAGACGCTGCTGCCCGAGGAGCCCGAGTAGCGGCGCGGGCGGCTGCTCGCCGACGCTTCCTGCGAACCGACGCGACGCTGCACACGGCTGCTTTGCTCGCGCGTACAGTTGCTTTGAAACGAGAATTCACTTGATATTCGAACCCGAGTTTCTACTACCAGGCTCTGAACCGAGAGTTACTTCGAGTAGACAAGGCACCATTCCTGGAAAGTATTTCATCTGGGAAAGGGTTTACAAAAGAGAAACCTACACTTCACGATAATCCCTTTGATGTAGTCAATTTCTACAGATTTCAAAATTCTTGCGCGCGAGCCACACGTTAGTTATAACCAAGCATGTGCAATGCCTTGAAGCTGAGGAGGTTCTCAAATATTGAATTTTTTATTTGTAAGTTTCTTCCACACTGAATTTTAGAGAAAAAACTCACATTCTCTAAAAGTTTGCCATAGAAAGGTGTACCGGGCAGGCTCCTTTTGCCCAACCTCTCAAAAGGTACGACTGTTTATGGCTGCAGCGAATGCCGCAACCGGCAGCAAAAGAAATATAAACACTTCTGGAAGTCACGCAGCCACACAGCCGCGACAATACATCATGTAATTTCCAAACGCTTTCAAGTTTTCAATCCCAGTAAGGTGTAACACACAAACGTCTGTCTCTTAAGAAATGTATTCACGGGAGTTAATGTGCAAGAACATACATCAGAAATTGTCAAAATTGCGTAACTCTCAAACTATCACGTCGAATTTTAAAATAATTGGTGACGAAATTGTTGGCAGTCATCGCAACTCGTGGTTTCAACTTGGCACGGGTAAGTCGGGTCGTCTCAATATGAGCTAATGGAGACAAATAAGATAAACAAAACGTTCGCCACGCAAAGGACCTGTTGAGATTCCGATGATGGTGAAAGTGTATCGGCGAATACCACTGTATTGCGGAGAGTGATTTGCTTTTTGAAATAAACTAATTCTGTCAGGTCAGTAGTACACACTTCGATATTTTGCACAGTTTGCACGGAAGCACATGGAATTACACAGGATATCATCTGTCCATTACAAGTGGTAAAGATAATACATTGCATCTTCTAGCAATATGAACCAAATCAAGAAGACGAGTAATTAAAATTAAAATATTTTTAAATTAAATTTCGTTATTCATTTTGTTTATAATATCTTCGATATCAAGAGCTACTTAATGACGAGTTTTCTGAGGGATGACCAATGATGCATTCAGTAGTTTTATTTTAGTAATTGTGTGAGATATGTGATTTTCTTTCGAACTGAGACACTTAGTTACCGATGCCAAATTGCTAAGATCAACCCTTCAACTTACCTTGATGGCTGCGCGGAACAGAAGTGAAGCGGCGACGACGTTTAGCGCCCATAGGACGTAGCCTCGTGCGCTCAAGGACATCAACATCCCTGCCACACTGGCGTATAGACTTCCATATTCCACCTCACAGGTAGTCTATGAGCACACACCATTCAAGAAATTTAGGGTATCACCTCTTCATAACTGCAATTTATTTCTTAAACATTTACTTTTATTTTCTTATATTTAAACTAATTTAATTTCATAAAATAGGCAAGGAAACTCACAAATTTAATAGAAGATTGACAAATATACCTTTTTCAAATTATAACTAGCGTACCGATCCCTTTCCCTATCTTTCCTTTTGCATATTAAGAGGAAACGTTCTTAACGAATCGTGTTCATTTGTTTAAAAAATTAAAAAGGTAACTTTCAATGTGTTTATACAATTTAAACTTAAAATAAAGGACATTGAAATTGACGTTTGAAACAACTTTTCAATAAAGGTTTATTCAGTGTTAAAGACATGTTCTTGAAACACTTCACTAAAAACTTCACAACACTTCACTAAAAACATAATTTGAAATAATTATAGAATTTTCTTGACAGCTTTTCGCTTTCCTTGATAATCAAAAAATATTAAAAAAAACTTTTTACTCTCAAGAAAGCTACTTAAAGTTGTCCAAGCGAAAATACACGATCGGGCAAGCATTACCCTACTCTTGGGAATATTATTTAACTTTATTAACAAACTGAGAGTACACCCGTGAAATATAATCGCCTAGAATATCAAGTACTAATTAGTTTCATTTTTCACCCAGTTGCATATTCTGTAAATACTGAAAGTTATATCACAAACCTTTCATAGAAACAAGAATGTCAATACTTACTTTTTTATAAATGAACGGTTGCATTAGCACTTTACACATAAAAAGCAATCTTCATCGGTATCAAATAACTATTAATACTTCTAATTGTTGCTGCGACAGCATTTAGATTTACACAGAAAGCAAACTAGTTGGAGAAACATATGCTTTCTAAGCATGAAGTCATAAAAAATGGTAGCCTCCAGCGCTGAGTAACATAGTTCGTATTGGATAGTATTGATAAGCACCGGACCAGCAAAAATGTAATTGAATGTCCAAGAATGTCATATTCTGTAGATTACAATGTATGGAACATTTCATTGAGGCCTTCGGCCACACAATTTTAAGTTTCAAATCCCAAAAAATATTTGTTTATTGATTATTTAGCCATACAGATTTTGACAATGCTGTTGCATTTGACATGAATATTTGGATGCGTTTTTTAAAACTTATCCGTCAATTTTTTAAGTTAAAAAACGATTCGTCACGTCTCCGTAAAATATTTTTTTGTTTAGAGACAGCAATTGTAAAGATCGGTTGCGTGTCAGAGTCGCAAAAGGTATGTAAACTACTGAAAAAATATAGGAGACGATATTTATATTGAACGTAATATAAATAATATATAATTAGTACAAATTTTTAAAAAATTCACATCTAGAATATTGCAATGTCTAATGAATTACGGTTTTTGTTGCGTTTGATTTTAGCATTCATTTTAATCTCACAAAATTTAGAAATGTCATAAGAAATACTTTGAAACATTCCTTCACAAATGGCAAAAAATAAAAAAGTGCACTTATTAAAAAATACAGTTATGTAAATTATCAAGTATTTTTTAAGATTATTTCAAATGTTAAATCAAAGAGACACTTATGTAATATATTATGTTCTGTACGTGACAAAAGTTTAAAGAAAAAACTTGGAGTTGTTTCCGAGCAAAGTATGTAGTCCGATCCCGGTCGATCTGGCTCCATTCGAGGCGCCGCGATTTTTAAAAACTTTCTTCAAAATTCGAGGGATCTTTACACGAACCCTCAGGACAGATTTTTCTCAAAAAACGGCTCCAATATTTCTTTTTAAATTTCCAGTAATAATAGAGTAAAATAGAGTATAAAGATGGCATAGCTCAGATTTTCACGGTCAACTACAGTTTTGAAAATTGCAAAACTGAATTTTTTTCGGCGTCTTCCCATAACTACGAAATTGAAGATAGAGATGAAATATCTAGCATATGAATTTATCCACTTTTTCGTTACCATGACACTAATAAAAGTTTGTATGGCGAAATTTCGCCGTTTTTCTCGCAGCATCACAGACCTTTTCTTTCCTGCGTAAGCAGATACAACAGCGAGATACAATATAAAGAGTGTTGTATGCCCCGTTTCCAAAGATACGGCAGATAATTTTATAGATACGTATATTTTATAGAAATGTAATTCTCGATAGTAGAATTAGAAAATACGTATTCTACTTTAGAAAATGTACACTCGCGGAAACATTAAATTTCGCGTCGAAAGGCCTTGGACCCGAGATGTTTTTGACAATGGACATCCCTGCCTGAAGACAGCGATATCTAACGACGATTTTCAAAACTACGTTCTTTAGACCGAATTAAGAAGATTAAATTTCTTTGATTGGAGAGCTAATAGAAGACTTTAACGTCCTTTGAGAGCTAAATAGTAGTAGTATAGACGTAGAAGAATTCCGTGATTCCTGTCCATGAATCTGCATTGACATTAATTTTTGTATTCGTAAAATTACTTTCTCGTTTCGTTAATGTTCTAATAAACGAAGAGCGAGGGCAGCGAGTGAATGGCTCAGTGTCAAAGAAATGTTCCGCAAGTGGGACATTGGACTTCGACATCCCGTCAGGATAGTTACTGTTATTCAATCCACGTTACCACAATATTAATTACAATATTTCTCATTTATCTTGTGAATGTTATGCACGAAACAGCGAACAAAGCGATCGTTTGAATTACTTATTTGATGATTATATAATTTCTATTTGCTAAAAAGATTTCTACTAAAAAGTACTATGAAAAGTCTGACTACTTCGACTATTATTAAACGATTATGTTAGTGATGTATTTCTTCTGGCTACGATTGTGTGGTTCAGAAGAGAATTCAATAAACTCAGCTCTTTTGTTAATACATTACATTATTATTACCGAATTTATGTCTTTAGCCTCTCACTTTCTAGTCCTTACAGGTTCGATTCCCGGTGAAAACAAGATCAACATTGTCAGTTGGTAAGAAAACAAAAATAAATATTTTCATAGCCAAACAAATGGAAATTCATTCACCTTATTATTTTTTTCGAAATGGCTCACCAAGCCACATGAGAGTGACTTATCGCATTAGTGAGAGACTCCTGTCTCAGGAACAGCGTTTTTGTTTTCCTGATTAGTCATGTATTTACTATATTTCTTTGAATAAAATAAAAATACATACCTTGGAAAATAAAAATATTTCGTAGAAAGACAAATAGACCTTTTCAGGGCTACCGTGATTTAAAATCAAAATAATAATTTTATTACCCAAAGGAGACAGTACTGCAATGCACTTCATTTGACAAAAAATTGACGGATAAGCAATGAATTTGTCACCGGATTCAATCCTGCTGGTTAAGGTTCCGGAATAAAGCATTCTACAAGTGAGAAAAATGAATACTGTTATGTCGTAATTTCTCAGAATAATTTTTGTGCCAAATTTGGGATATTTACATATTTAATCTTGATATGTCGCGTATCCTCACTCAAGGGGAATTAAACTATAGGGGATGATTTAGAGTTTTGTTTTACTTAAACATTCTTAATATATTGTTGCCCCACAAATGACGATTAGGTCTATCCAGACGAATAGGTGATAGGTCATCATGAAAATGAATTCATAGAACTATAGAAAGTTGCTAGATTTTTTCTTATGAAGTGATTTCCTTCCCAATGTATCTCTTATGTTGTCTATCCCTTGTTGGTGCACATTTCTAATTTTAGGAGCACATTTGTCACTTTTTGGCATGCTACGATATAAAAATAATTTTGTTTGTGAAACAGTAAAACTAATAGCGCAATATATGAAAGTTACTTTGCCCTGCGCTTTGCCCACGCATCGTGCACGCAGGCAGTGTTTGTTTTGCTTTCTGAGCTGTTTTCCTGCAAAACCCCCAGACTGAATTTGGCCAGTGAGTCGTCAGGTATTTCTAAGTGACATATTTACCCTTCATGTTGTGCTTCCAAGGTGTCTTCGAGAGTGGAGTGTGATTTCGTTGAAGAGTAAGTGACATACAGGAGCCTCTTAACATTCCTGAGCGCCTACTTCATGAAACGAACTGTATAAGACAAGCAAATTGAAACATTTCTACTTTTGTTTCTTAAAATATATTTTATATTTATTATTATTATTAATATTTTATTTTTATTATTATTATTATTATATTATATTATTTATGTATTATTATCTATTATATTATTATTATATTTTATTATTTTATTATTATTATTATTAATTATAGTTATTATTTTTTAGTTATTATATTATATTATTATTTTTTTAAGGTTCATTCTAAGCACCTTGTATTTACTAGACATTGTATTTTGCAGTCGTATCAAAGTATTCCAAAATTCTGAGGATCACTGACGTTGTGAGTAAGTTGGCGCGTTACTTTCTTTGTCTGGTACCTTGTGTGAATAAGTTACCTCAGATTTACATCTGATATTGTCCGTACCGTGACTCCGAGATGAAGACAAAAAATCTTTGCTATCTGCTGTCAAATTACCTTCACAAATGTAAATGTTCACTTCGAATGTTTTCTCTTTTATTTTAAATCTAAACAATTATTGTTTTATGGTTTGATTTTTTGCGAATACTAAATCTCTTTAAGAACGAAAGAAGAACACAGAATACCCGGAAAGAAAGCTAACATACTCTACACATATCTCGAATATTACCGATTGCTCGCGAGAGAAAAAACATCTACGCCAGGTGCCGAAGTAAACCGCATGCTGTCAAGTTGTTTTCATTTACAATCTTGATAAAGACATTGCAGCTGCGTTATCCCCAGTGTATTTCATGGTCTGCCACTGAAACAAATGCCAAGAATTTTCTACAATTACGAGTATCGTGGTTGTTATGTGTTATAATTTAATTTTTACTTATGTTGATTTTTCCACGTTAATTCGGAAACTTTCCTGTTTATCCTTTTAAATAAATCAATTATTTATAATGTTTTTTTTTTCTCTGCTAAGTGAAATCTTCAGAAATCGCCGAAAAGTCGCGGGCAATCCAACCACACCCGCGCGTGAGCGCAATCTTATGAAAATCCCTCCCGCATTGCAGGTTTAAACCTGTTAGTTTTATCCCCATTACTGCATTACGCAATTTTGTTTCATATTCAACGATCAACTTTGTAATTTTTAAATATATATCCAATATTTGCTTTTTTCAAGTGAATTTTTTAGTTATACGTAACATTCAGCAGCAAATGCAGACGATCATTTATGGATGTGATGGCAATGTAGAATGAAAAAATACATACCACATCAGGGAATCGAATCCAACATTCCTCGACTTATTGGACACACATTTGGGCATGAGCCATTCACTCGCGTCCTCCTATTCTTTTATTAGATACATGTTTCATAAATAACGAAACGGGAACTAATTTACGAAATACAAATTATTAATGTCAATGCAGATTCATGACAGAAATCACCGAATCTCTTTACTTCTATACTACTACTATTTACTCTCACAAAACTTTAAAGTCTTTATAGCTCTCCAATTAAAGAAATTTAATCTTCTTATTACGGTTAAAGAACGTAGTTTGAAAATCGTCGTTTAATATCGCGACTCCAGCAGGGATGTCCATTATCAAAAAGCATCTTAGTCCAACGCATTTCGACGCAAATTTAAATGTATCTTACCACGAGTGTACATCATTTTTACACGATCAATTTTAATTTTACGTTTAAGTGCCTTCTGCACATCAAATTATAGTTCTATTAGTATTCTGGGCGATTGTCCAGCGAAACGTCTGCAATATCAGGTTGTCTCACGCTGTCAACGCTATACATTAACCGATTTTATCGCAATTGATGTTCACAGATCATCTGAACAACTGAAATTTCTGGATTTTCTAACATAAATTACAATTTCAAAAATGTGAATTCAAGTAAAATACTCCCAAAAAAATCAAAATATTTTTCAAAGTAAAAGGTCTCTATTCATTAAATGGTGGGAAATTTGGGGAAAAAAAACGGCCGAACGTTAAGTCTAAAAAACGTTGACAGAGCGGACCGATGACGAATTACACGCTTTCCCGCCAATCGATTTTCTGTATCCCAAAGACTCATGTATTTTGCTCCCATGAGCTAAGAAAATTACTACATATCGGTTAAGATTTACGAATTTCTTGTTACCAGGTTCGATAATAAAAGTTTTCTGACGAAAAATTCATCCCGTTTCCGCGCATGATATATAATACTTTAGATCGATCCGAAATTATCTTTCAGATAATGCCCTCTAAAGTATAGCAATGGCAGATAAGCGTTTTCACGTAAAACCAAATTTTCTATAATATCACAGAACGTTTATTATTACAATGTATTAAGCAAATAATTTCTAGCTACATCGAAGCAAGAATTTCCACTTTATCCGTATCAGTACTTGCAAAAAAAAGTCTTTCGTCGCCAATTTTTGCGACACATTTGCTGCAGATCAGAAACTTAGACAAGGTGATTGGTGACTGACCAGAATACTGAACGTGAAAGAATTGAAGTATGATTTATCCGAAAACGAGCAAAAAGTAGGAAAAGCAAGAATGACCCAAACATTTATCACCTTCACTGAAATTAGTGTTTTTTACTTACCACAATATTATGGTAGTCAATACCAAATAATATCGCTACTACGAAATCAAGCAATGAGATACTCCACGTTACTCCGGCCCAAGTTAGCGTAAGTTTCACTGCATTCTTTTCTTTATTCATCATATCTGCAAAATATTTTGATATTAGTTGTTTTCAGCTTTCACAATTTCGTTAAGAATACCTCAAACCTGTATTTATTATGTACAAACTTATGAAAACCATTATTTATGGGATAATGCACTTCGTTAAAAAGAGTCCGATAATAAGTATATAAATTATGTACTCATGTACATAAGTATATTTATTTACATGTATTTAATTATAATTATAGAGGAACTTTTAGTTTTTTAGCCCATACGGAGGGCAAATTTTCATGTCTCCTGCAATTCATAATATAATGGTAAGTTTATTTTGTGAGAAAAATATAAATACATGAGTTTACCAATTCATGAATTCTAAATTTCTTTGCAATAATAGTTTCATGATTGCTATGATCAAATTTTCCTACTATTGAGGTTATGTGATAGAAAATGCATAATTGATAGTGGGCCCGAGAATGTATTAGTGTCGAAACCCGGAAATTCGAAATAAAATATAATTAACTTGAACATGATAAAAAGAGAAAAATCTTTAGGGGTAGTGGACTTACCCAGTAAAAGAAGTGTTGAAGAGCAAATCCAAACCAAACTTCCCAACACATACACAATGCTGATACCCATTAAGGGCTTTCCACGCAGAATTATGTCTGTGCAGCAACCTGAGTACATAGACCCTGCAGACATAAAAATTCAGAAAGTCGAAGTCAAGTTGTTGTGTCGATTTATTGAAATTGGTACCTCTAGAAAATATAGATGTTGTGGTGCGTATTATACCTCTAGAAAATCAATCTAATAAATAAGAATCTAAAGAAATATAAATTCTACTGCAAAACAACTTTTAAAAAAGATCACGCCGTACACAAAACACGGTGTCTTATGCTTTTTTTCTGAGAAAATCCCTACATTTTTCATTCTAATTAACAGTGTGCGAAATATTACGAAGCATGCTAAAGCATGAGTAAGTTTTGAAAACATTTTAATAGTGATAAAACAATGAAATCATCATTTAAACACACCTGTTGGTGGTGTTTGTAATAGATTTACTTAGTATTCCGAGACATCGTAATGTACTGAAGTGCAAGAAGGTCAGGCAGTATTTTCAGAAAATATGAAATATAGTTCTTACGTGGAAAATAACAGCTTATCATGGCGAGGTTGAAAAGTCCTGTCACGGACTGGTATTTATCGGCATCTTCCTTTGTGGTGGGACCTAGCACTTCTACTGAAGTCAGCAGTGCCATCAAGCTCAGCACAAACCATACTCCCGCTTGCACCTGTAACCAGAGAAGAACAACGTATTTTATATTTAATATTTTGCTGCCAACAAAAGCATGTAGCATTGTGTTTGTGGTCATTATATGTGAAAATTATCAGTTTCGAAAAAACTCAGCTTCTTTGCTTATTTTTGATGCACAATTCGATTCTTCTTATCACCAGTTGGAGTGGATCAAAGCATTAACTGGCGTCACTGCGGAGCCTTCAACCAGAAAGGCCCAGGGTTAGAGTCTCGACGACGAAGGATTTTTGACACAACCTTGACAGCTACCTGGAATTCAGTCAGTGTGGAGGAGAATTCTAGCGGGCTGGTTCTCTGATCCTTTCGTCCTTACTTTCACACATTTACACTTCTAGTACTAGACCACCTGATATGCCAGGCGATGTCGGCAGGTTAGAGCTTCATTCTGAGGGAGGGGGGGGCGTCGCTGGTGGGAGATACATGCATGGAGGAAAATCCCGCAAGCCGACTAGATATCACTAGACCTCACCAACCAACGGGGGGGGGGGCACCGCTACCGAAATGCCGCTGTGATGGCGGCGGTCGTGGCGCGGCCCCCCGCTTGCCGGCTCGGAGTCGCGCAGGGTGGCTGCCCGCCCGTTGCGCGTCCGCTGGCGCCCTCTGCGCAACTTGGCCCGGGGGCGAGGCGCGCCAACGGGCAATGAGTTTCAACGATTTTCGGTGGTTGGCCAAGGTGCGATTTGAAGCCCCGTCTTTCAGCGCAAGAAAGGTCAGTGTCAAAAGTCGATCATGTCCCCTCATTTCACATTCACTTGCATTGATTGGTTAAATGGTGTGAGTAGCCTCTTCTTTCCATAATTTACCATAAAGTAGAGCGTTTCAATTAATCGTAGACGAAAGCCAAATGGGTCTCTTTATTACATTCCATACGCTTTTCTGTTAGTTGTCGGATGGTAAAAATATTATCTGTATAGGAGCGTCCTGTTTTAAAACCGTTTTCTTCTTCTGTTATTCAAATATCAGAAATATTAACAAGCCTTTTATTTAAAATTTTTCCATACATTCTATAGCAAGGGTAATAAACTAGTACCTCTATAGTTGCCACAACTGCCTCATTTCCATTTTTTAAATAATGAAATCATTTTTGCCTTTTGCCATTGTTCAGGATCTCTGCATGCATCCAACATAAATTTAATAGGTGAAGGAGTCTTAGTTTTAACAGCGAACCTCCATTTTCAATCCGGCAATTATTTCGTCAAGTCCCGGAGCTTTTCGATGTTTTCGTCCCGTTATTGCTGTTTCTATTTCTTCTAAATCAATGTCATCTACCGAAGCTTGTACAGGCATTTCACATTGGATACTTTTATCTTCAGGGTTATACCATAAAGTTTGATAATGTTCAACCCAATGTTCTTTTATAACTTTCAAATTAGCTGTCGTTTAATTCACTATTGATATGCCGAAGGACTTTATATGCTAGTTGTTGTCTGCCAAGAATGTCATTTTTCTATTAATTTCTGAACATTGCTACGAATCTTCTCCATGCTGATTGGTGAGCTTCTCCATTTCTTTGCCAATATTTATTTTAGGTTTGTGCCCTCTCCATGTTGCATCGGTCATCATTTGTAGATGCTACTTTTTTTGGGTTATGGTTTGTTCTATCTCTACGTTCTACATTTTAAGACCTTTTGCTTTCCGAAATTTTCTTGATTTTTCTAAAGATTCTGAAGCAGCGTCTTTAATTATGTTTTTTTTTTATGTCTGATGCCGCGTCTTTAAGATGTAGTTATTCTCACCCGAAACTACAGAAAACCAGTTAGAATCCCAAGGTCTAATGTGATAATTGTCGCATACGGAACGTGTGGACGGAAAATGTACGTCACATCGTTTCAGGATGTGCAACCCTCGCAAAGGCAGATTACGCAGTGAGCCGTAACCAGATCGCTTCCATTATACCCCAACAAATTGAAACCAACCATAAATTTAGTGATCATCATGTCCTTTACTACACATTCAATCTTGAATGTGTTTTGGAAAATGCTAAGGTCAGAATTTATTTCGATTGCACAATTTTGAGACACAAGATGCTAGAACATAACGGGCCAGATGTGATAACTCTCAAGGTGCCCAAAACTTCTTTCCTCATTGATGTTGTATATTGGCATATCAAATCAAATATCAGTGCAAACAGGACCAAGTTTCATTCTCCCAATAAGTATCTCCAGTACTAGCCTTATAGAAAAATACGTCGAAAGAACCCTTCAAAAACTCGATAACCATCCAAGGCTTTTAAAATGAATGCTGAAGTGTGTTACCTTAAACACTTGCCGCATTGTCCGGAGCTTTCTAAATGCAGATTCTTATATAAATAGCAAATAACACAGTTGGTGGAATGCTCGTTGTTATTTGAGATCCAGGTCTTGCAGTAAATCAGCAATGTGTAAACATAATAATAATAATAATAATAATAATAATAATAATAATAATAATAATAATAATAGTAATAATAATTTACTTAATTTAACTTATTTTTTATTACAATTACATTATTTATTACAACTTAACTTTATTTCATTTATTACAATTTCATTCATTTTTACTTTTTAGTTTTAACATTTCTTGTGGGTACATTTTTCCAGTTTTTTTTCTTGCTATATTGATATAGTGAACGATGTTCTTGAACGACAACAGTAATTGCATTCGCCCCTCATTGGCATTGAGTAGTTCAAGAATCTCTTGCCTCAACAGGCCCCTCAGCACAGTCATTCACAGCTTTCAAAATTTTAAAATAGCCTTTGAGCTTCTAAATATGACGAGTTGCTTGTCCAGACCGAAAAACATTCTTGAATAAAACAAGTATCCATCTTCAGACAAGAGAATAGATAATTGATTTTCGTTGTCCAAAAGTCGACTTTTTTCATTGTAAGGAATGTTAAATTGAATGAGATGTATTGTATATTAACGAATTAATAATTAACCAATAGTCATCGGTATACTATTGCGCTTACCTTATTCTCCATTCAATTCTCCACAAAAAGAAATACATAGCTATTCCATGTGCAGATACTCTCAGGCTAAATTTGCTAAGATTTTGATTTGGTTTGTACGTCTACTAAATCATCCGAGAATGATACGACAGACAATTCTTGTAATAAATACCACACACGGTGTCTTGCTTCAAAGTTGCTTTTTAAGTTGTGGAATCTATCCTTTCATGCGATTTTAGAACTTTTAAAAAGCATATACCTTGATAAAGAGCTTTTACAACAGCCTTGCTCCAAAGTCACTATTTGACATAAACAATTACAATCAACAGAGAGGCATTTTAAGGACTTTTTAATTACACTAGATTGTTTAGCTTAAACAGCTTAGCAGAAACATTAAATAGCCCTTGCCAACCATCGTGCTCGATATATCGTCCGGGAAGATGTATTTTTTATTTGTTACTTTCATAACAGTTCAACATTTCTTTAATTTCGAACTCATTAAAGAACATTTCCACATTCTCTTTATCACTTTAAAAATGAATGGCATTAACTCTTTCCCAGCTTTTCTTAAAATGCTTAAAAAGTGCTGTCAGGATTGCTTGCTACAACACGTATAAGTATTCTACACATTGTAAACTAAGTTCGTATATGTGATGACGGCACGGAAATCACATATACGAACAATTCTCTCTCCAAATTTGCTTGAAGATCACTTCTCTGTCCAAATTTGTTTGAAGAAAGACGCATGTTTCTTCAAAACTTCAAGTGTTTGATGCAGTTGTATCACAGCAAAGAATTTATACTTTGTCTTCGATACCCCAGAACGTTAAGACATTTCAAACTGCTTTACCAGAAGAATTCCGCAATTTTGAAACCCGATGAGCTGCTGACTGCCCTCAAATGTAACAACTATTGGATGTCTTTCTTCGTTTCAGTCACTGATAGTTTATGCAGGCAACAGTTTGCCATCCCAATGAACAGTAAGAATATCAGGTATATTACGCTTAAACTCAGATTTAATTGTTTCTTAACGTTCTCTTCTCTTTTTGTATTTGATTCGAAAACAGAAGATTTATTAATATTATACTTCGGATATTGCGGCAAGGAGATTCTAGTATTGTCAGAATGGTTGTGTAAAAATGTATACAGAAGGATGTAGAAAAATCTCCTCCACTCAGCTGGTATCTATATAAAGCAGCCATTAATTTAGGAGGAATGAAAGTTTTTGGTGCCACGGTTTGCAGCATTTTGTATTGATGTAGTACTCTCGAAAGTTAGTTATTTGTATCTTCAGATCGTGAGGGAGGTACAGAAGAAGACGTAGACGCTTCACACTGGTGTTTCTCTTTTATTTTCTCTTCTTGTAAAGTTCTTTGCCTCGCCCTTTCTTCTTTATCCGAGAGATTTTGGTCTACTGCAAGATACCTTTTGCATCCTGGCTATCTCTGCGTTCAGGAAGTAAAAACATCCTGTCCTCGTCCAACGTAATCATTTGTAAAGAAGACGTGCAATACTTAATAGATTGTTCAAATTATTTCTAAAGCCCTCTTCAAATGCTTAAAAATATCTTCACACTTGTATGCGTTTTTTAAAAATTTTTATCATGGAGTGAAGAATTTTTTTAAAAAACACATACAAGTTAATAAATGGTACAAGTTAATAAATTTTTGCGAGCAAGGCTGATTAACCCTTGTCAGAATTTTGTTTTCTCCCAAAATATCATGCACTCACGAACCACAAGTTTAGCACTTGCTATAACTTTTAATTTTACTTCTCATATGGAATAAAATAACACTTCAAGTATTTGTTTATTTGATGGAAAATTGTGCTTAGTTATTTGGGGCCTTATATTAATAATTAATATTATCTCCTAAAATCTGCATTCAAAACACGTGCTCTTCGGCACTGCATATGACTCTAACAAATGACATATTGTTAGATTAGCGACCTGTCATCACGTGTGACACGATTTATTAAAATCCATGTATTGTTGGTCTCGGACCGGCGTCAGCGGTGGGTGGTAGGTCTGGACTCGTCCGCCATGTGAATTCGCGCTCAAGTCGGCACGCGGTAGCATGCTCCCATCTCAACAAAACTGTGAATAGGCCTGTGTTTGTTTTAGTCCATTTAAACAAAATTGGAGGGTGAGCGTTCAAATATTTCAATGTCGGAAAATAAGAGCCATGCACCCCGGGAATCATGACAGACCCGGTGGTGTGCACTTATCGCGTCGCTCCATGATTACGATTCCACAATTATAGTGTATATAATAGATAAATATATTTTTTATATATATATATAATATATAATAATTATATATATATGGATGTTGGCATATTTAAAAGCGGTTAACTCTGACACCGTGTGACCGATCTTCATGAACGTTGGCACATTACGTGTTTTTTCACCGAGAAGTTTTATGTGCTGTTCATTTTGCTGTAAGTAATATACGGCGCTGCAGAACAAAATTGCGCCTCATTTTAATTCAATTTCGATTCAAACGGCTATCTATACGAGCTTCATTGTTGCGTGTCGTGTGACGCAGGGCGCGGCGCAAGAGAACCGGATGGGCGCGCGTGACAGAGAGAGAGACAGAGAGAGAGAGAGAGAGAGAGAGAGAGAACACAAGCAGAGTGACAGACAGGAAGAAAGAGAGACACAGAGGGACTGTTACAGTGAAACAGGTCGAGAGATGCAGATACAGAGGCGAACTCAGGAAAACGAGGCAGACAGAGACAGAGGAACATAGCGCCGTAGAGAGCGATAGAGCAGGGAGCGATAGAGGCAGCAGAGGCAGACAGAGACACACACGCGGAGAGAGAAAGGATGGGAGACAGAAAAAGAGAGTGATGACGGAGACAGAGACAAACCGAGGTAAACAGATACAGACAGAGGTAGACAAAGACAAATGAGACAGACGGAGACAACTGAAACAAACAGAGGAAGAGACGTAGATAGAGAAACAAACAGTGGTACAGACAAAAAAGGGAAAGAGACAGGCAGACACAGAGATAGAGAGACAAACAGAGAGGGACACAAAGTCAGAAAGAGACAGAGTTAGACAGAGAGAAACAAAGCAAGACACAAAAGGAGATACAAAGAGAGAAAGAGAGAGAGAGAGAGAGAGAGAGAGAGAGAGAGAGAGAGAGAGAGAGAGAGAGAGACAGACAGACAGACAGGCTGAGAAAGATATGGAAACCTCCTCTTTTTCACAAGTATTGAATACAAAAAAAACGGCTATTTCGATAGTAGTAATAATAAACAACGAAAAAACATAAAAATGCAAGATTTTATATATACGCATGAATGTTTATAATATTGTCATTGATGATGATATAAGCCCACTGAATCCCTAAAAGGACAAGGATCTTCAGTCAGAACACAGGGGTGGTTCTGTTTACCTCTTTAGGTGAATTAGTCCTTATGGGATTTAGTGTTAATTCTATAGTACTATATCCAGTACCATCCTGCCTGTACATTGCACTTCATGCTAATTTAATAATAAATACACTCAGTTTTCAGATACATTCTAGTGTCATTTTTGTTGGCCACTTTACATTTCACATTGTTTATACATTTACCGTTTCTACCCTTACATTTATTTTACTATTTTCATTTGCACATATTCACATTTAGCGTTTCTTTTCATTAATACTTCGTATTTTTTGTTTCTCTTGAGCTTTCCACGGTTCCCTGTTCCTTTCAATTCGTGATCATATGTTGCCATATTCATTTTGAAAGACATAGCCCATTTTTGTTTAGGACGTCCTCTTCTTCTTTACCCTGTGTTGGGTCCCAGGTTTTTAACACTTTATTGTTATTACTTATATATGGAATGAAGAATTTTTTTTTTCGGCACACTCCTGTAACTACTATCTTCAGACACCAATATCGCCGCCTTTCAGCCTCCCCTGGGATGGATGAGATGAATTGTGTGGTTGGTGCTGATGAACTTCAACGATGGTGCAGCAATGAGGAGGGATAAACACAATAACCGAGGAAACTCCAAAACCCTACGGTGAACGCGCTGGGTTCAACACAAACTCTAAATGCATAAACTAGCAATTGATTTGCGAAATTAGCGATGGAAGGAGAAAAGACCGACCGTTCACCAACGGTAATTACTAACATTGCCACAAAAGCATTGATGATCGGTTAATGAACACTTACACTTGAACAGATTTGTGAGAGGGAGCGAACGTAGTGACCACGCGACATTGTGTCTGCCAACCATCGCCACTTTCTTCGAGACATGATTTATAACTTTATGAATTATTAAGGTTTATAAGCTTTGAACCAAGGATTGTTTCCGATAAATGTCTAGTTGATATATTTTGATATTTGTCTAAACCTGCAGAGAATGCAAGTAAAAAGTAAGTAATGAAAATAAAAGTATGGATAAAAGGGGGAAAGTCTATAATTCGGAAACGATGTTTACTTTTTCAATATTTGAAATATATTATACAGTACAAAAATAAATGATGGATGTTTTCCTCACTCGGTAAGTTACTCTGGTACCGGTTAATGACCTGCTTCTGGTCCCATGGTTTCATCATTTACTTTGACAACAAGAGTTATTGTTGGATTCGGTCATTTAAAAATGAATTACACTCCTATTCAACGAGCAAAGTTAACAATCTATAAGTAATAAACGAGAATAAGTAATCTAAGGAAAGATGCATGTTTCTGCCATTTAGAAGAATCCATTGGCCCAAATCTACCGTAAGCGTGTTACTGCAGGATAGGAATTACCTTCTGGGTCTGCGTTAAATCTGATTATTAGTTATGGAGATTAAGCAGAAGGCGTTATGCAACCTGCAGCCCATGCTGTACTGCGACCGTCGCTGCAACCTGCTTAATTCGAAAACGGCGTCCAATGTTCTTAAAATGTGGCGAAGGGATGCTAGATAGTTTCCAATATTTAAAATGAGCTCTTTTGGGTCGGTCTATTACACTTTTGCATACAACATCTGTTCCGTAGCCGTTCAGTTTTGTCTCAGAACGTTCGAAATTGCCAGAAAGAAGTTGCGTTCCTTTTATTATATTCCTACATAGGGGGCGCTTTTTACTTTCCCGTATACGTACGTATATACGGAGTAGTATAGGGAAAATTATGTAATGCTACGGAAAATTGATTTCGACGAAAATACACGTTTTCGCGTCCCCTGATTCCTAAAATTTTTTTTTTTTTCAAACCGTCCGTCTGTCTGTCTGTCAGTCCGTCCGCTCGTTGGGTGTTTGTGAACACTACTAGCGCCTAAAACATGGGTAAGATTTTTTCCAAATTGAAGAAACCCCTGTCCGTCTGGCTCGAGTCGAAACTTTGAGATTTTGACAATCATTCTTCAAAATTGGGGGTACTTTATACAATGTCCTCCAGAAATATTTTTCAAAATTTTGTCAAAAACAGCTCCAAATTTGTGCCTTAAATTTCTTGTAGGTTAGAGTAACGTACACTTATAAACGTGGTATAGGTCCGATTTTCACTGCTAACTTTGAATGTTTGAATATTTCAAAGCTATGATTTTTTTCGATGTCTTCCTTCAACTACAAAAATTAAAGAGAGATATTTCCTCCATGTAAAATTTGTTCTTTGTAGTGAGATCTTTCATTAAGGTCATGTACATTTTTTGAAAATTTTAGTAATCTTCGCGCAATATTTCGTACAATATGTGCAATTTAAAAAAATACAAAAACAAGATTTTCTCAAAAAGGGCTCCAAATTTTATCTTCAAACTTTTCCTAGGAATTGTGCTAAATGCTCTGTATGAGACGACATAACCTCCGTATTGCTCTATCCGTTTGTTTTTTTCAAAAATTACAAAAAATATATTTTTGGGTTGTCCCTCACGTCATTAATATTTATGTTAGCTATAATTTATTTACATTAATGCATTTGTGAGTACATGTGATTTAAATAACGTGAGATAGTTTCCCGAAAACTCAACATTTTCCCATGAAAATGTGCTCAAAATTCCTCATTTTCAGAAACGCTCAAACACCATGTTCTTAAAAACGGCTCAAAATTATTTCTTCAAATTTTTTCAAAGCATAGATATAATTGCACTGTTAAAAATTACATAGAACTAATTTTAGTTTTCTCATATGTATTTTAAAAATTACACAAATGTAATTTTATAAAACATCTCTCTTGCCTTTAATGTGCACATTTCCAGCGATTTATAAACGCTATTGCATTTTGTGACTGGAAGTGTTGGAAATGACGTCATATGACATTTTTTTGAAAATTCAATTGTCTTCTGTGAAAAGAGGTTCAAAATTCAAATTTACTGTAGCGTTTAAACGCAATTTTTTAAAACTAATTTTCCAACAAAAAGAAACGCCATTTAGGACTAGGTTTTACTGTTCTTTAATATTTTTAAAACAATTATTCGATTCTACTATTAGGAAGCCGAAAACTTAAGAAAATTTAAAAACGTACTTTGGGCGGCGATAGATGGCAGCTGCAAGAGTATGTGGCCAGTGTGTATAACTAGCTGAGACCAATGGAAATAGAAAACTAATACGGGAAACTCTATTCCAATCTGTAACACCACTACTTACATGTAAATTACCAGGCCCTTGTTACGGAACCCAAAATGAGGTGGATTTCCATTTTGAAGGAGTGCGGAATGTTTGCATGAGTGATATTAGGACAAAAGGCGAGAAATGTTAGTGTAGTAGTTATATAACTCTATAAGGTCCAGAAGACTGTGCCGAAAACAAATCGATGCATTGAATATTGAAGATATTTCTAAGTATTACTGAATTATCCGATTTCATATGATACAAACAACGGAAAAGGCAGATTTGAGAACTGAGGGATTGCGGTGCACATGGCGCTGCAATCGCTGCCGACCTCGTCAATCGGATGTCAGAGTTGCAGTGCACTAGCTGCACGCGTGTCGAGTCTTGGAAAGGTGCTCACGCTTCCGATCTCATATGGGTGACAAGCGCACACGAGGAGAGAGCGTCGGGCTCGCTGGCGCAGCGTACTCACTGCGGTGCAAGCGCTGGCGGCGAGCGCCGCGGGCCTGAACAGCGGGGAGTCCATGCAGCTGACTGGGCCGCCCCGCGGCGCGGCTCCGCGGCGGCGCTAGCGCTTATCGGGCCTCGGCGATAGCCTTATCACGGCCCATCGCCTCCTCCCACGCGCGCAGGTATCCGGCCCGGCCCGGCCCCGGCTTCTGCGTAGTGGTCAACGTGTCACGCGTTTCATCATCTGCCATAACAGAGGAGAAATAATGGATTTTGCAAAGGAAATGTTCTATTGAGAATAGATTGTTTGTTATTTTGATTGTCTTATAAGGAAACTGCATTATGATTATCACAGGAAGGCTATATAAATGGTGAAATCCAGAGCGGTTAAGTGACATTTTATAAATTCAGAGAAAAACGTATTTATTTTAGTCTATATGTCAGTTGTAATGTACTTTCGTGCTTTTAATGAACAGTTGAAAAGGTTTTAATGATGAAACAAAGCAACATGACTTTACAGAGATATTAACTTAAATAAACCGATTTCTCAGAATTTATAAAATGTCACTTATACCGTTCTGGTTTTGATCCATTCTTATGTAATGTATTTACTTCCCTTTGAAATTTACCTGTAATGTTCCTTATTGTCTACTTACACAATTGTATTGCTGAATACAATGTATTCTGTAATTTGAATTTGATGATGTGCATAGCATTTTAAAATGTATTAATTGATGCCAGTATAAATAAATGACCTTCAATACTGTCTCTTAATACATTACAACACTCAAGCTTAGTTTTGTATGACAGCTGGACAACAGCTGGTGTCTGGAGGGTCGTGAATGTCATTTTCATTTTGTGATATTTGCTCGTAATTTTTTAGGTCATGATATTTTAATTAGAACTCTGACTTTTCGAAAATTTCAAAAGTTTGAATATTTTTTGGTGTTTTTCTAAAATAAAACTAAATCTAGATACTTTTCTTCAAATAAAATTTGTTCTCCAGTGTCAGCTCTTTCATTCAGGTCATATACATTTTTACAATTTTAATAATTTTCTTGTAATATGGCGTGAAATTTGTGTAATTTAAAAAAAGAACAAAAACACCTTCTTAAAAGCTGTTTCAAATTATTTCCTTAAACATTTGGTAGGGATTGAGCTAAATGCACTCTATGAGATGACATAAAAACCTATTCTCTTTTCTTTTGTTTTTTCAACAACTACAAAAATAATATTTTTAACTTTTCTTACGTCTATAATATTTACACTAGCGGCAATTTGTTTACACTATAGTATTTATGAGTACATGTTCTTTAAATAAAGCCACATAAAGTTTCTCAAAAGCTCAACAGTTTTCTGTCAACACGAGCTCAAAATTTCGCAATTTAAGAACCACTCATACATCATTTTCTCAAAAACGATTCAAAATGTTTTCTTCAAACTTTTCGAAAGGTTAATGCTAATTGCACTCTTTAATATGACGTTAAGTTCATTTCGGGATATTATTTTGTTTTTGTAACTTTTGAAAGATCTCTCACGCCGGTAATATGCACATTTCCAGTAATGTGTTATTACTGCTGTATTTTTGAATTTAAGTTCTTCAAATGGCCTCAAATGAAGCCTTTTGAAAACGTAAAATTTTTCTGCAAAAAAAAGCTTCAAATTTCGAATTAACTGTACCGCTTAATTGCCAATTAGAACGTCTTGTTTACTGTTCTTTAATATTTTAATAATAATATTTACGTTCTAAAGTTAGGAAACAGAAAAAGTAAGAATTAAAAAAAGTGCTTTGGGCGGCGATAGATGGCAGTAGGCAAGAAAATGTGGTACCACCAGCATATATATATATATATATATATATATATATATATATATATATATATATATACACAAACATACAAGGAAAAAGCAACAAAACAAAAATTTAGAACAGCCTACAGAAGTAAACACTGTGCACATACTTTCTCGCATTGTTGGAAAAAGCTACATAATCCTGAAATTTTACAGTCCAACTTGACCGAGGCTCTAATTGAAAAAATCCAATTCAACATATTCAAACAAAGCGCCTCAGGTGTATGTGCATTTATATTGATATTCAGCTAAAGTAGTCGATTCTCACTTTTATAAATGAAACAAACATGTATAAATTTAACTCTTACATTTTTTGGTTTTACAAAGCCTGTCTGCCTTGATTACGTTGGAATGAGCATTCAATTTTTAAATATCTAATTTGTGAATTGAAGAAACCCCTGTCCATTTGGCCTGAGTCGAAACATTGAGATATTCAAAAATATTTTCCAAATTTGGCGGTACTTTAAATGATACCCTCCGGACATTTTCAAATTTTTTTAAAAAAATATCTTCAAATGTTTTCTTTAAAGTTATTATTTCTTTAAATAAGAAGGGACAAAATGAGATTAATTTCCCGCACAGCGAAGGGCATGTGCTCCCACTGCCTCTAGGCCATGATCGTGCTAGTTGTTGTTATCTACTAGGTGATGATACTTTTTGATGTTACTTTCATTCTCGAAACGGCAATTCAGACGGTGATTCTGCTTCAGTCGTTCCGCCGCCTTCCGATACAGGGTACAGAGTTCAGCACTTTCGTGAGCCACGGCTATTCGATACCCCTTTATCGAAATGTAAGGACACGATGTTGCACCGATTGACGAGAAAGAATAACCGAAGGATCCAAAAGTACAATAAGAGGAAATGCATGATGCTAAAATTCCAATGTGACATTTGATTGACAGACTGAATGGGAGAAGGCAGTCGAGTGTGTCGAGATGAGTCACTCATCAGATAAGCTCTGTTCGCACGTGAATCTTATCTGCGCCTGTGGAGGTGGACGTGCGGCTCGTGGCAATGAACGCTTTAAACCGCCTGCAATTGTTTCGAATTCACGCGTGACACATTTTTCCTTTTCCTGCTTGCGGCCTCAGTCGGCTTCACTTATTCTACGTCGTAGTTTACCCCATTGGTTACACTGGAAACCTCCTAAATGGGGGGAGACACTGTTCATAAAACAAATAAAACAGTAGGCAGCAATATTTTCTTAGGAATGAGTATTTAAGAAATCAAAACTCCATCCGTTAAATCTCTTGCAGAGAAAACTATTGATTTCTGATTTAGGCAGTAATTACCACAACACAATGATTTCTGTGTGTCTGTGGCGAAGAAATCATTTTTCCAAAATTAGTGGCAGGCGATCTTGGACAAAAGGATTGCGGGTTCGGTTCCCTCCTCGGGCATCGGAGTGTTTGTGTGTTTCTGTAGGGGGGGGGTGTCGCCCATTCATCCTTCATTATCATCAGTTCATCCCCCAGGGCGAGCTATCTTAGAGGATAGAAATTGGATTGAGCATAATGCTGGTCCCCCCAAAAGAGTTACATAGTGCGTAGCGCGCTCACTTCGCAGTCCGGAGGTCCGGTTTTGATCCAATGGCCGGCCAGCCAGACCGGGATTTTCGTTGTTTCCTTCGGTCATTCAGGCGAATGCTGGGATGGTTAAAAATGAACACGACCACCTATCATCATACTTTCACCTCATAATTCACAATTCAATGCTTAACTATCGCTTGTCTTGCGAAGGGATACAGCCTGATTCCCATAATGATACGCTTTAATCTTTCTCCCGGGTCTTTGGAAGATAACGAATAGCGAGGTCAGAAACAGCCTATACGCAATAATAATAATAATAATAATAATAGAAATAATTGTAAGTACCTTATAGTGCAAAAGCTATTCTCCAGAAGCTTGTCCAGTCTTGTGAGACTTGCCCTGGCAAGTAATTTTAGGGTAGGTTGCCATTGTTTTCCCTAGGGGCGCAAGTGGGCCAATTTTTTGCGTTTGATTTTAATACTAGATAGCAAAGACACAGTTACAATATTCGCAATAATCCAGTAATTTAAATCCAAAATCTGATCGGTGTTAAATAGCAAGAGGATTTTTTTGCCGGCCAAGTGCCTTTCCTAAGATCTGTTTTTGATGCCGACAAGCGTTCGCGAGCATGCTGTCGATGTTTGGCACCTCAACCCCTCCCCCCACTTTGACCGGGTTCGCTCCGCGTGATAATCTCTATGTCATCAAAGTAGTTTGAATAATAACGACAAAAAATACCAAATTCAAAATGAGACAAGGCTAATGGTAGCTGAGAAATTAAAAAGAGAAAATACAAGCCAGGGCTCAACGCATTAGACATTACAAACGTAAAGTAACTTTCCGTGTACAGAATCGGTTGTTTGAAACAGACGCGAGGAAATCCTATCACAATCTGACACGAAAACAGAAGGACAAATCTGTCCCTTCGCCAATGACAACATCAAAATATTTGGACTGGAGCCTGAGAAGCATATTCTTCAACAGACATAAGACGCCTCTTGGCTCCAACCTCAAGTTGATGCTGCCGATTAACATGTGGAAACAGCGTTCAAAAATTCTTGGAAGAAGACCTCTTCGAAGTATTTAAGAATATGAGAAAGTGGAAATAGCCCTACATTGGTAAAATCCAGAATAATTGGAATAAGAAATTAACAGCATGGCATTCTCGTCGAACAAAGACTGTTCATAAAATTTTAGAAACATCAAAGGAAACATCGTAATGGCGCCCACGCGGCATCGCGCAGTCTCTGCCGCCCAACGCGGGGGATTGTTCTTTGTGGAAGGCAGTCACTTGTTTGCAAGTTAAAACAAAGTTATGACTGCAGCAAACTGTACAGACAACTAGAGAAGAACCATCAGTTGCCAGTTGAACAGAAAAGATGTCGTAAAGGTTCATATGGCTGTAAACAAATATTGCTTCTAAACAAAGTCATCTTGAATGATGTAAGGAAATGAAAACGCAATTTGAACGAGGTTTGGATTGACAACCAGCACCCAGGATTGGTAAGATACATATTATTGGCTTAAGAAATTAATAGCATACAGAAGTCTTTGACACTGCCCCACACGATTGGAGTTTGAAGACCATGGAGATTTATCGATTTCACCCCAGACGCATTTCATTTAAATAGAATTTAAATTAATGTATATTGTAAATAATCGCACTTCGTATAATGATTATCTTTTTCCATAACTT